TTGTGTTAGAGCATCTATATGGTGCAGATCTGGCTCCAAAATGAGGGAACTGCCACTTTTTGGCTTGCAGAGCTTGTGAGAACCTGGCAAGTGAACATTCGTGGGAGAACCAAAGCTAATGCTGCGCTCTGTTCAACTCCAGCATAATTATAATACTTCCTTGAAAGGGAAAGTATATTTTAGGGACCTTAAGCAAACGGCATGCATGCACAAACATATTAGAAAGCCTCATTATGATAACCAATTTTATTTACGCACAAATTTTGGTTTTATTGCAATTTAAAGAGAATCTATATAACTTCCTCCATATATCAACAGTGTTTTGATTACTGGCGTGCCTAAAGCACGAAACTATAAAAGCGGCATAGGCTTTACCATCGCCTACAAGTTTACTCATCTTGGATCGAAGTTTTGAAGTTAAAAATCATCAGGAGAAGCAACTTACAGTGATCAGAGTTAAATTGCACTAAATTCCATATAGGATGAATTAATAAATTTATTTTAAATTTGTCCGTTTGGCAAACGGTCCGGATGCTTTGTAAATTAACCGTTAAATACATTTGTGAGGTGGAAATCCCTTCTAATTTTACTGCTTTACACACAAATAAACTAAAAACAAACAAGGTCGACCACCTCATATGTTCGAAATGTAGTGCATAACCCATTAACAACCTAGGGTGAATTCATTTTATTATCAAAGTTCTGCGAGTACAATAATATCTTTAAATAAATTTTATAGCGCATAACGGGGAAGATTTTACGTGTTAATGCCTGCATTGTTTCATTGAACCAATATTCACTTCGCCTACATTCTGCTGCGCCCTATTCTTTGACCCTGTCTGTACCATGTTGAACGCTCTTCGTGTATTTCGTGCCGCTGTAAGTCCAAATTTCTCTCGTCTAGAATCTTTTCAGCTTCCAGAAAATATTTTAGTTGCACGCAATCTCGCCTCAGTTTCAGCCACCGCACACTTACATCCGTTTAAATTGTACAAACTCGACGATGGTCCCCCTTCGACCACCACTTGTACTAGGGAAGAAGCTCTCAATTTCTATGAAACTATGCAACGCATTCGACGTATGGAAACAACTCTTAGTACCTTGTACAAGGAGAAGAAGGTCCGCGGTTTCTGCCATCTGTACTCCGGTCAGGCAAGTGACCGTTACTAATTTACTTTTGTTTTATGGCTCCATTTACGACGCTATATCGAATGCAACTCTAGGAGGCCGTAGCAGTTGGCGTTGAGGCTGCCCTCACTCCTGGCGATGCCATCATTACGGCGTATCGTTGTCATGGTTTCGTTGTTACACGGGGCGAATCCGTAGCCAGCGTTATTGGGGAACTCATGGGCAAGAGCAATGGTAACGTTGCTGGCAAGGGAGGCAGCATGCATATGTACTCCCACGAGTTCTACGGCGGTAATGGTATCGTTGGGGCTCAGGTTGGTTGTTCATTTTACTCCCATTTTAATCTGTCCCCGCAGTTAACATTTGAGAAAATCCGCAGGTTCCGCTTGGTGCTGGTATCGCCTTGCACAAGAAACGCAATGGTACAAATAACGTTTGCGTGACCATGTATGGTGATGGGGCCTCGAATCAGGGTCAGGTTTTCGAGACTTTTAACATGGCAAAGTTGTGGAACCTGCCATGTATTTTCATTTGCGAAAATAACAAGTACGGTATGGGTACTTCAATTAGCAGATCCTCATCCAACACTGCTTATTACACTCGCGGTGATGTTATTCCTGGCATCTGGGTATGTCAGTTATTAGGCTTTCTTTTAAAATTAGTTGTTACCCTTTAGAATAATAGCTTGATATGCTTCCAAACGTCAGAATGGTGTTGTTTTGCTCACGTTCTTAACTGCACTCATCGATTTAAATATTTGTAATCGAAGGCTGATGGTATGGAGGTGTTGACCGTCCGTGAAGCGATGCGCTACGCTACTGAATGGTGTCGTTCTGGAAAGGGTCCAATAGTCGTTGAATTGGAAACTTACCGTTACTTCGGTCACAGCATGTCCGATCCTGGGACTAGCTATCGTACGCGCGATGAAATCCAAACTGTTCGACGCGAACGCGACCCAATTATTCTCTTTGGTCGCTTCATGACCTCCAGTGGCCTGGCTACTGATGATGAGATTAAAGTGATTTACTTCTCGAACATAATTCCGTTACAATAAGTAGTCGATTTTATCATTCGCGTTTTTATATTCAGGCAATTGACAAGAAGGTTCGCCAGGAGGTGGAGAATGACGTGGCGACATGTGAAAAGTCCCCACCTCCGCCTATCGAAAGCGCATACAATGGTGTGTATCGCCAGTATCCTCCCAATTTCGGTATTCGCGGAACTGACATTACACAGTGGATTGTACCAAGGTCCTAGATGGTAGACGTGTAGATGTAAAGAGGACTCCTCCGCACTACTTCATCGGCTACGTCTATCTCTCGACATGCACTAGTTACGTTTTTTCAGTGTATTTGTAATCGTGTTTTGCCGCTTTTCAGCTGAATATAGCGAAGTTTTATTTGAAGGCATTCCTATTTCTCTGCGGTAAGGGTGGATTACTCTCCTCGGCGGATATTCCTGTTAGTGCATTCTGGTTGTTCAAAGTAGAGTAGTAGCGCGTAGCTTTGGTATTCTGTGCTCTTGGAACATAGTTTTGCGACGAGGTGTTTAGTTGCCTTTGTGCTGTTTTCTGGGGGTTTCGTTTCTTCTGTGCTGGGTTGGGCTTCGTACGAGCAGGTTGCGGTGCTCACAACCACTACGTCATTACTTAGTTTCTGTCCCACCACTACTACTACTACTTTTAGGTTGATAGAGAGCTTCGTACCACGTCGGTAGTCGACCGCTTGAAAATTTAGTACGGACTGGTGGGTGCACGAGTCAGTCCACTTTTCCCCAATTCCTGAGTTCACAACTTTAGTTGACCTTCTAGATGGAAAAACTTCTAGAGTTATTTAGTTTGGGCCGGTCTATGCATGAAGAGACATCTAAAACATTCTTTGGACACATGGCTGCTCTCCTATGATGAATTCGGATCCGGAGGAAAAGGAGATAGCAAATCGTCAGTCAAAACTACAAGACTCCCAACCACTAGTACGGAGAGGTGCCCAGTATTCTTAATCACTGGGCAAGGATTCTGGAACTAGGTTTCCTTTAACCGACGCGAAGGCCGCACATCAGTGATCGTTAAGCTACGAAGTAGTTATTTCCTTATATTGGTGGTCACGCAGTGTTTTCGCAACCATTTCACCCTTTCATGTGTTACTCTACATGACTGCGCTGCTCTATTCTTCCGCACTCTAGCTACTTCTATTTAGCTCTTTGTGCAATAAATCCAAGTAGTTGCGAGCTCGGTTTGCCATTACCAATAGGCCCAATTGGTCTCACAAAATGCCGCTACAATTGTACCCTATTCATACTTTGGCTAGGCGATTTTCGGGGCTCGAAAGTCTACAGCGTTAATAGTTGCCTGGCAATCAAGTAATTTATTGCCTCGATCCACCAATCAGCTAGCGACGCTGCTTCGAAGGCAGAAAGCAAGGCTGTGGTATGCCGACTGGAAAGCTGCCTGGCTGCACCACGCACTTTATCCATCGATAAGTAAAAGCCACAAATTTTCGAAACTCTTTTCGATATTTGTTTGTGATTTTACAAAGCCGTTGACTCGGTCATCGACTCTAATTAAATGCTGAACTACCTTTACCATTTTTTTTTT